GCTCGCGTCTTAAGCGGGTTTGTTGCTTGGAGCCCTCGCTGGCTTTTGCCTCTCACCCCGACGAGACGGCTACCGCCGCGCGAGGCAGGGAGACGCTGCAGCCGCTGTGGTACTCTCGTGGGTGGGTGAGTCTCTGGCTGTTGGTGGGGTCTTTCACCGTCGTATTTGTTTCACGTGTTTCTTTGTAAGGATGGTTTTTTTTGTCGTTTTTTTTTTGTTTCGTTTTGTTTGATGGCTTTGTTGACACACGCAACGCCGTGCGTGGCGGGAGGGAGGTGGACAGGGCGTCACGCGCCCCCCTGGCACAGAGTCGTGGCGCCGTCCACGCGAGAGGGATCGAGAAGGTGCGCCGGTCCGCCACCAGCAACAGCAACAGCAACAGCCTGTACTGTATTACATTACATAGAGAGATATAGAGGGAGGATAGGGAGAGAGAGCGGGAGGTGCATGGGTGAGGGTGTGTGTTTAGCCGCGTTGCGGGAGACGCATCAGAGCTCATAGAGGTGTATCGGCCACTGTCGGCGGGGGCACATTGCACGTACGTGGGGTGCGGCCACGGCCGTAACGAAGGAAGAGGGGGAGGGAGGGGATGTGGTGAATGCAGGCAACACGTGTGTGGGAGGGGGGAATAGTGGTAAGGATGAGAGTAGTAAGAGGAAGAAAAGGAAAAAGAAAGGCGGGCATACAGAAGCAGGCGGAAAAACAAACGGTAGGAGAGGCAAAGGGAGTGAAGTGGGTGAGTGGGAAATACAGAGGGAAAACGAATGGATAAAAGCCGCTTGTGCCTGAGAGAGTGAGAGAGAAACGAATCTGCCCCTCCGCTATGTGGCTGAGGATGCCTGTGTGCATTCCCACCGCGACTTAACGCACACAGACGTGTGAGACCGGACGTTTGCTGTCTTTTTTTTTTTTTTTTTTAATGCTCCTTCATGCCGTAAGTGTCTGCTGATCACCGTTCCCTGTCAATTGTGTTTTCTTTTCTTCGTTTTCCCCCTCGCCTGCCGCTGCGTCACCGTGGCCAAGAAAAAGAAAGAACGAGCGAGAGCGAAAAGGAAGTAAAGAGGGCAAGGGCGCCTCTGCCGTGGACAGGTAGTACATATACCCACCCACATAAACTTAATTAGGGCGCGAGCGGTTGGGCTGGCGCGCACGCTTTGCACGTCCTTTGTTTCCTCTCTAACCACCGTGGACCTTCGCCGTCCCGTCGTACATGTCCAAGTACGCCGACCCCGACTACTGGGAGGAGCGGTACCGCAGCAACGACACCACGTACGACTGGTACCTCACCTTCGACAACCTCGAACCCCACCTGCGCCCGGTGCTGCAGCCGCCGGAGCAAATCCGCGTGCTGGTGGTTGGCTGCGGCAACAGCCGCCTCTCGATGGGCCTGTACGACGAGCTGAACATTCGCAAAATCACCAGCGTCGATGTTTCACCTACCGTTATTGCGCAGATGGAGCGGCGCTGCAAGGCGAAGAGCGAGATGCAGTGGGTCTGCTGCGATCTCGTGAACACGTCGCCAGAGAAGCTGCTGACGTTGCTGTGCCCGAACGACCACCTGTTTGACTTCATCATTGACAAGGGCCTCATCGACGCCGTCCTTGGCGGGCATAACTCTTTTCACAACGTTTACACGCTGATGAAGAACCTCTCGCGGCTGCTGAAGAAGGGCGGACACTTCCTCTCTGTGTCATACGGGTCGCCGGAGACCCGCATAGACCACTTCCGCCGCCGCAAGCTCTACTTTGACGTCGAGCACAAGCCTATTGAGAAGCCAATGTTCAGCTCAACAGCGCAGCCGACCGGGCATTATCACCTCTACACTGTGACGAAGCTGGGGGAGAAGCAGGTGGTGGCGGTCGGGGGAGGCGCGGGGGGCGGTTTGGAAGGCGTGAACGCCAGTGCCGACTCTGAGTCCGACGAGGATGAGTTTTACGATCGCTTCATGACACAGACGTCTCCGGCGCTGGCGGAAGACGCGAGCCGCATCCGCACGCTGTAGCACCCCACGAAGGAGAGAGGTGGAGGGAGGGATGTGGGTATTGGTGCATGTAATTCGGTGGTTACATGTCCCTCTCTCTATTTCTGTGTATATGTATGTGGCGTTGCTCTATTTATTCCCTTTCAACACGGAATCCGGGCCCCCCGCACGCATGTGCTCCATTATATAAATGTACACGAAGGTGGTGGGCGGTGGAGGATGAGATGGGGGCGAAGACATGAAAGTGGCAGACAATTGATGCAAGAGGCGAGAAACAGGCACGGGACACTCACCACCGACGTTCTCTCTGCCACTTTTTATACTATATGCACAACACACACACATAAACAGTCTCTTTCTCACTCTCTGCGTGTGTCTCTGCGACGATTGCCAGGGGCATCGAAAAACGCATGTTTCTCTCCACACACTCCCCCACCGCACCCCCTTCTATATTTGTCTTGTTTCTGCTTCTGCTTCTCTCTGCCTGCAGTTGCACTCGTGTGCGTGTGTGTGTGTATGTGTTCATTACGTGCACGTAGGGTTTGTTTTCGCTTTTGGTTGCTGACTCCGCCCCCTTTTACCTCTACATTGGTCGTTGCTTTTTCCTTGTTTGCCTTGCTTTTTGCGGCGGCAGCAACACGTGGGTAGATGGGGAACTCAAAAGACTCCCCCACCGCCACCGTGGCAGGAGGGAAACGGCGGGGCTCGTCGTGCACATTTCCCGCCACCGCCCCCTGCCCACGCGTCAGCTACAGACCAGCAGCGCAACAGGGAAAGGAGAGCCGTATGAGTGGGGAACTGCGGCCTGTCTGCATGAGCCCGCGTGTCTCTGGAGGCGTGGGGGGGGTTCATGCAGAGAAGTCTCGAGTGCCGTCCGCAGCGGTAGGCCCGCCCAACCATGGGCGGTGACTGACAGACCTGCGGCGGGAAATCCCTCCGAGGTGTTTATTTCCACGCGCCGGGGGGTGGTGGCGTACGTTAACTCGCTCTTGTAGCTGGTCTACGATGTCGGCTGCCTCACCTGTGCTTAGCGCGTCGCCATGGCAAAGCAGGTGCTGTTCTTTCTCGCGCGCGCGGGGGTTTGGAACGCAGCAGTCTCACGAGGCGGCGGCAAAGATGCTGACGGCGACACCGGCCGAGTGCGAGCGGGAGACGCCGCACGGTTACCACTTCCCCGGCCCCTTTGCACGGCACCAAACACCGCCGTACTCCGTGCAAAGGCAGCCCTGTGAATTACAGCAAAGGAGCGGCAATAGCAGCCGCAGCGCGGTCGCCACCCCTACTGAAGCGGGTAGTGGCACGCATGGTGCGTATTCGCCGTCGCCTTGCGGGGGCACAGGCGCTGTCTGTGTGTGGGCTGCCTCTTCTTTCCGGCCTTTTCGCCCCCGTTTGCCGAGGGACTTCCCACCTCCCTCTCCCTCTCTCTCTCGCACCTCTTCCGCTCTGGCGGGTGCCTCGGCAAGTTTCTCGCGCACGCGCGCAGAACACCCAATCTACCCCGGGCACCTTTTGTTGTTGTTTTTCTCACGCGTACGCGCCGTCGGGCGCTCACTCCTCGTTGGCGCCCTTTCCGCGTGATGGCCCCAAACAAACGCATGGGCCCCGCACGCACAAAACACGCCATAGATTCAAAACGCGCGGGTGCGTTTTCGAAACCAAAAGTGTTTCTGAAAGTTTCAGAAGCAAACGCGAAAAGGCCAACGAGTTGCGCTCCTCAAACCAAAAAAAAGGCGCCCACGGAGGTACTCGCCCGCGCCCGGCAGGCCGGTTTGGGCATTCAAAACAAGCCGCGAGGCCGAACTTGCTGTAGCAAAAAAAGGCAAGAAAGTTGTGACGAGGCACCGCCGCCAAATAAGCAGAGGCCCGTCGCGTCAGGAAATCCGGGCGTCTTTTGGCGGCGGGCGCTGCCCAGGCGGTTGCTCTGCCCCCGGACCGCTCGTTCGGAAGTTGGCGTTTCGGGCAGCCAGAGGTGCTGCCAGGCCCGTGCCCGAGTGGCGGTACGGCGCCAAGCGTAGAGAAAGGAGAGGGCACCGTGCCTCAGGCACGGGCTGCAACAAGCGCCGCGGCGGGCGCGCCCCCAGCAGCCTTTGGGCGCTGGAAGACAAAAATGCTGCTTGCAAGCGAAAGGAGAGTGAGGGAAGGCGAGTACGGGCGAGACCATCCCGTGCGCTCTCCGCGGGGGACCGGCGCTTCGCGCGATGCACTCCGGAAGCATGCGGGTGCGGCGCACGGTGCAAATGTTGTCCGGGCCAGTTCCACCGCGCCCGTCGCCAGCACCCCGTCGAACTAATTTGTGTTGAGCCGGAAGGGGAGGCTGAGGAACCTTTTTAAAGGGTTCCTTGGCGAGGAGCGCGACGTCCGCACCGCTTCTCTATCGGTGTCGCTGAGAGAACGCCAGACATCGATACCAGCGGATTTCACAAAAAAGAGAATGGCACAATTGGCGCCCCATGACCTCCACCAGCGCAGCGCAGCAACCGTCAAAAAATACGGAACCGAAACCCCGCCCCCACCCAACCCCACGCAGCGCCACCGCGCCCAGCGCGGTCGCCTCCACCTCCTCCCACTCTGCCGTGCTCAGCGCCATGTTCGCCGCGCCGCCGTAGTAGTCGTACCTCCCCGTCACCTCGCCGCGCCGGATGTCGCACAGCCCGGTGCCCACCCCCACACGCACCCGCAGACCGTCGCAGCGCTGCCGGCACACGGCGGCCTCCAGGCGCGCAGTCAGCGGCACGTACCCCTCCGTCTCCTCCTCCGCCCGGCCCTCCTCGAACTTGCGGCACGCGTCCTCGGGCACACTCGTCCCCCACGCGTGCTGCAGAAACATCTGCTGCAGCTCGCGCACAAGCTGCACGGCGGCAAGCGCACTCTTGCACGCCATCATGAACGAGCCGCTGAT